CCACATCGATACTTGCCTTGCAATATGCATATGAAAGTAATGATGATTAAGCAAGTTCTACAGATAAACAAAGATATGTGAAAAAGCACGAATTGCAACACTAGAAATTTAAGCAGATGTAATTTGGTAACATACGGTAGCATCAATGTCTTGACAAATGTAGCCCAATGTTTCAAGAGACGATTCTTTCAACGATGCTGTACTAGCTGGGTTCGTGACGCTCGTCCGAAGGGCATCGATAACATCAGGCCAGTGCTGGAAACATGTAGAGTATCAACAATGTCGCTCCTTGGAAAAAAGACTGATATAAATCAGAAATCAAAAAACTTCGCAAGAAGTCCACTGAAATCGTTATAGGGCTAAGATGTTTTGCATATAACAAACGGTGCCAATCTCCTAAAGGAGGTGTAAAGCTATATGGTGAAGCTCAAGTACAGGCTAAAGATAGGTTGTTGAAATTCATGGCAATTCGGCCATACAATGCGTGATGCGCATGATTGAAATTGACATACATGATGTTGATGTACACTACTTTATTCGGCTTTGGGAAGTCTATAAGAGGCAGCAAAATTTGATCAAGCCTTTATAATGCTTCTCTTTTGAATGCTTCATGATTTTATTTTATAAGATGTGGAAGTCTGAAGTTATCATTTTGGATAACTTTTAGCAGTAATGTTCTGACCTAACTTAAGCATTAATTATGAAAAATTTGTGAACGAAAACAGAAAATTGTGTAACTTTTTGGTCTCCGCTCAAAAGGTACTATCACGTGAAGATTCGAAGATGACGCTCACAGATGCCGTAAATGAACATGGACAAGCCAGAAAAGCATGCATAAAGTAAAGTCGTAAAGCCTCCTAAAAAGAGGATACTAATAAGGAATGCCTATTAACGAAATTGTACATTATAGTGACGTGATGTCATGTCATGTGCCTCTATTAAGGTTTATAAGAATGTTTTGAATAGTTCCTCCATGCGATCAGATTGTAGCGGATGCATAATTCCCAGCTGGTTATTGCTATACAATCAAAGTTAATTCAAAAGAATATGAGCGAAACTCACGCCAGACGGCAATTCAGCACAAGCGATAGCTGCTACACATTGTGCAGCGATAGATGGTCGAAATGGCTCCGTGCCGAGAGTCTGTACGACAAGTACCTTTACTTGTGTTCGTATATCAGCGGGAAGTGACAGCCATCTAACATGATCCTTTCATTATTTTGCATGTGCAAAGTCGTAAATCAGTAAAGATGACCTGTTCAAGTATTGAGCACGCCTCTCTTCTTCTTTGGCATATAAGACATTTTTCAACTGAAGTCCGGCAGCTTGTCGTGCGAATGGTTGGCATTCTTCCGAGCGCAATATCACACTCAGCTCTTTGACAAAAGCAGGCTAAAGTAACGTCAACAGAGGAAGAAAGCGAAGGTATCAAAGGAGGAATTAAGGAAATATCCTATAGGAAATGGTATAGCTTACGAAGTCTCGAGTAGATGCTTCATTAAGAAATTCAAGCGCTCGCTTTTGATCTTCCTGATCTAAAAGAGCAA